TTATTTAACATTTTAATTATAACTACTTATTTATTCCATGTTTACGTCAATATGAAGCATGCCTAATTTCCCTTTCCCAGTGAGTAACTCGAGGTTCCTATAAATAAACTTATAAACAAAACAAATGGTATACCCATCCTCTAGCAGAAGGTTTTTGCACACTTTGTACAGTTTCCTCAAACAACACAACATAACATGCGTGGGGTGGAACCTATATGTTTTTTTATTTTTTACAAGCCCATGTTGTATGTCCGTGACAACAAATGATGTTTTTTCTCATTAATTTCAGCAACAACATAAAACAAGATTTAGTGTTTCGATGCCTTGCAATATGTCAATATTAGGGATAACCCGTGCCTTCAGGCACGGTGCAATATAAATAATTTTGAGAGGATTGTTGGTGGCTGTTGGATGAGTCTGTTTGAGACCGTCGGATTAACTTATTAAAATCTGTCATATTTTATATTATAGATTATTTTTTTTTTACTGTTTAATATTTAGTGATACTAATTGATTAGGAGAAATCAATGAAAATTAAACCTATTGTACGTATCTTTTTTTTTTTGGGGGGGGGGGGGGGGGGGGGGTTGGCCAAAGTCTGCATAACGAATGCGTTGTATGTGTCTATATTTTTGTTCTTAAACCATTGTCGGAGTCTATAAATGTTATTTGCAAACAATCATGTATTCTAGTGCTAGTAGTTCGTGGTTAAAGTTGATTCGTTTATACAAATTGTAATATTAGTTTACATATACAATTGGTTATCACAAAAAAAAAAATTTGGGAATAATTTTTTTTTTTGGGGAGAGGGGGAGGAGGGAAAGAGGCTTAAACCCTTGACTTCAAAAAAACAAAATCTTCACAAAATAAAGAGTATTATTAGACCAAAGGCTTGTTGGTACAAATTTGAGAATAATAAGTTTACCTATATACGATGTTAAACACAGTGGTTATTAGAGAATTTTTTGTTATTAAGTGATTTACTACATATTATATTTGTTATGATTTTTATTTGAAATATATGCTCGAACCATTTAGATGTTCATTCGATCATAGTCCTTTGTTATCTTGCCTTTGAAAATGTGAGTTGTAAATTACTTTTGTATAGGTGTAATGATAAATTAAGAAATAATTAAAAAAAACTATGATAAAATAAAATAAAAAAAAAAACAAGTAAGAAATTCACTAAACTTTTTGAAAAGAACAATGTTAATTGAACCTAATTTATTAATTTTATTTCTTGAGTTAATCATTCTTGATTGGTTAAAACCTGTTATCAATTCAATGACTATGATTAATTAGATCACTAAATTAAATTCAAATATCATTTTCTTTTTGAAATGTTTTTTTGGACTCATTTATGAATTTTGTGGATTATTTACAACCATTGATGATTATTTACAATTTTTTTATGATCATTTATAATTTTTGAGGGTCAAAGTGTGATTGATCCTAAAAAATAATCTTCAAAAGTTGTAAAAATGACCCAAAATATTGTAATTTTTTTTGTTGTACATAAACACAAAAAATTATATTTCAACGCATGGACTTTAAATTTTGGCACTATCGAAATGAATTTTTTTTTGCGAGACGGTAATCTTCTCCAAAGTCAATTGTCACACCATCAAGAAAGAAAGAATGAGTTGTATAGGGTATCAAAAAATAAAATTTCAGTGCAATTGACATTTATCACATTTGTGAGTAGTTTTACCGATGTTATGAATATTTTTATTATTGTTATGGTACCAAAAAAAAGTAATAAATATAATTATCAAAACAATAGTAAAATTTTCCACAAAAGTGATAATTATTTTTACACCAAAAAAAATTAATAAAAATAATTACCACAATTGTAGTAAAAACACTTATAATATTCGTAAAAATATTCTTAAAAGTGGAAAATAATTCGCAAAAGTGATAAATGTTTTTGTTATAAAATGACCTACAAAATTATAAAAATATTCTTTAACATAATAAATTTTGAAGGTGTGGTATCAATTTTTTTTTGTTAGGACTATTCTCAACCCTTAAATCTCTTTTCTTATCTCATTTAATTATCTTACTTCAAAATACTAAGTTCACCTCATCTATATCTACCCTATTTATTTTTGGGAGGGGGAAGGGAGAGTAGGACTTGAATTTATGTCCATCAAATTAAATTATTAAATATATATCAATAAAACCAAAACAAAAATAGTTATTGAAGAGAAATTTCAACGTTTCCATGTGTTTTATATTATTTTGAGGTGTTTTGAGATATTTTAATATATTTTCACTAATGTTTTTGAAATATTTTGAGGTGTTTTAAGATATTTTAAGATATTTTAAAAATAATTATTAATTATATTCTATTTCTGAAATATTTTCGTACCGAAATAATATATTAAAATAAAATTTTGATAATTATCTATATAATAAAATAAAATAAATATAATTTTTAATTAATGAATACAGAAATGAGGAAAAAATAATGGAATCAGTGTCCATCACAGCCCTTTAATTGTCAAACTCCTCCTCCTGTAACAGAACCTTGTTTAGCGGGCGCTCACCCTACCCCAAACTACGAGGCTATAGCATGGCGACCTGCAAAGAAAAAAACAAACAGTTTAATCGAGAAGAAGAGTCAGAGGAAAAAATGGAAAGAAAAGAAACAGTCTAGTGTCTGTTTTGGCAGCATCTAGAAAAAGCAAAGAAAAAGTTATGGCCCGTGTGCCTTCTTCTTTTTCATTTTCTTTATTAAATATACCAGCTCAGCTCAGGTGGCAGGACTTCCAATCTTATTTAAGTTGTTAAATGTGCTCATTAAAATAAATACACGACATAATTTATTAATATATTAATTATACACAATGCAAATTTTATATAACAAAATTTGTTTGACAAGAATTAATAATCAAAATGTGTATCGATGGAATAATTTTTGACATTAATCTATTAAAATTTAACACGAAATTATTTCATCCGGCACGTTTGACTGAGATAGTCAATTGTAAGGATAAGTTTATAATATCAAAAAAATTGTTGTATTACAAATTTTTTTAGACTTATTTATAATTTTTTTGAACTTTTGAGATTCATTCTAAAATTGTTAGAACTGGTTATAATAATTATAGGATTGATTTGAGTAATCCAAAAAGTTATAATTTAAAAATTATAACACGATCGAAAAACCCTAGAAATTAATGCTCCGTTTAATAGGAATGATGAAAAGTAAAAAGAATGAAAAGTAAGAGGGGTATACTTTCTATCATTCAAGGATGTAAAGAATGAATGATACACTCTTCTTTCCTTTGTGTTTGGTTGGATGGATGAAAAATAAAAATGACTAATTTTTTTTTGTGCTTACTAAGATTAGGAGTGACAATCGACTCGTGTCATGTTAGATTCGTGTTGAGTCATAAAATTATAGGTTTTTTAAATTTTTTATTTGCGCGTCAAGTTATTTTTAAATTCGTATCGAGTTATAATCAATGGTTGATTGTCCAACCCGCCCAGTTGCACCCCTACCATTCACTTTTCTATTTTTTTTTTTTTTTTACCACATGATATTTTATTTATTCTTCTAATTTTTCATCCTCTACCTTTTCATATTTTCATTTTTCCATCATAACAAATGGAGCATAAGTATATCAACGCTCAACACTCATAAATTTGATGAAATACCTATTTTACTATCAAAGTCGAATCTCATTTATGATTGCATATAATTGAAATAGATATATCCCGTTTGTCTAACAGTATAATAAAACATTAAATGTAATTTTTAGGAAAAAATATATATATATATATATAAAGAAAAAAAATTTAACTTGCAACAAACTTATTAGGTGGATTCGCATTTTATGAAATTTAAATAATACATATGTAGACTCATTAAATTTATTAAATAGACATATTAATACGAACCACATTAAAAATGACACATATTAAAAGGTTAATATTATGAGTTTTAACAGGTGGTGACATTAGCGGCTGCGGGCAGGTGGTTGTCGGGCGGGAGTGAGCGTTTAGCGCCGCACTCTGCTGCAAAAGCAGAGAGCACGCGGAGGTGACCGGGTACGGGCGACTGCAGGTCGCCTTCCGCCTCCGCCACCGCACTTGTAACTGCGCCTTATGGCCTTGACTCTGTCTTAGTCAGTCTGCGGAGGCTGGTCCGCTTGATACCCCGCATTCACCTCGATTCTCTGGACATCATACAAGACGAAGTTGTCCATTCTCAGCTTGACAGCGTGTAACACACCCAGCCCACAATACTAGGCGATGATATACCACACTGGCAATAATAAAATTTATTATATTTATTATATTATTAATAATTTAATAATTATGATGAATTAAATGGATAAATTAAATTAACAATACTACTTTGATCAAATTCAAAAATAAAAACTAAACGGGTCGGCAGTTTTTCGACTCAACAAATAAGGGGTCTGGTTAGAAATTGTGAACAATGTTATAAAAATTTAATCAAAGAATTAATTCAACTTGAATAATACTACACTGATCAAATTTTAAAATTAAATTTAAAACTCAAATGACATAGTAATTGATTATTTAAAATTTTTATTGAGACCCAAATTACATGACACCAATTAAAAAAATTCAAGTCAATTGTCATGTCATTTAAACTCTAAATTTAATCCCAAAATTTATTCAGTCCAACTGCTGATTCAAGTTTGGACATCAAAAAGTTATACTAACACCGTTACATTACACCTAATATTTAATATTTTTGTGGGTACTAAATTAAGGAACTTACTTGTCATCTTCTAATTGGTGGGTACAGGGCCACCCCCAGCCTTTAAATTACTCCACCCAGGGCTCATTTCTTCCCGCTCTAACCAGGACACAGCCTTGAACCCACCCAGAAATAGCAAATCCCAGAAAACCCACCCGTATATTGAGGTTCTATCATCAGTAACCTACGCTAGCCTTTCCTTCTTTCTTTTCTGTCTTCCGGTTTGAAGAAGTGAAAAGCAAAGACGGGTCTGCCTCTGTGGATGCTTGGGTTGGGTGCGGAACGGTTGCGAGCCGACATGAATCGTCTGCTCGCTTTGCTCTTCCACCAGGTCTCTCTCTCTCTCTCTCTCTCTCTCTCTCTCTCTCTCTCTCACTTCCAGTCTGTCTAGCTCTAGCAGCCTTTGTTTTACTTGTTGTTATGCTGATGCACAGTTCATTGGGTCGTTACAACGGTGTGATCATTCAGCCTAGTATAGTGATAGGGTTGATAGTATTTTTTTTTGTGTAATAATATTATAGGGAGTGCTGGATGAGCAGTTCTTGCAGCTTCAGCAACTTCAAGATGCAACCTCACCAAACTTTGTCTCTGAGGTCGTTAACATCTACTTCAATGAGTCCGAGAAACTCTTGAGAAATCTCAGAGGATTGCTGTAATTTGCGATCCCTTTCTACTTCCCTCTTATTCTCTCAATAGTTCTTTTTAATCATTTTTTTTTAATTCTTTCACAAATATGAGTAAAGAATTGATTTTTCTTTATGAATTGTGGGTTTCTTACTCTCTCTCTCTTCTCGGTTATTCATTCATTGAATATTTGAATTGGTTATGTGGGTATGTTGTTTATGGTGATGGGACAGGCTGGATAGAGAGTTCTCCGACTACAAGAAAATGGGAATCCATTTAAATCAGTTTATGGGGAGTAGTTCAAGCATTGGTGCCAAAAGAGTCAGAAATGTATGCGTTGCCTTTCGCGCAGCTTCCGAGCAGAATAACAGACCTGGGTGGGTGCCCTTTCTTTCTATGCTTTCGTGCCTTCACATTTTACATTCCCTCCTGGTCTACATGGGCTAGAGAGAGAGAGAGAGAGAGAGTGAGTGTGTGGCTCTCTTAATAAACAAATATGGGTTCAGAAGCTTGCTAAATTGGCCTTTTCCATATTCCTCTCTCTCTCTCTCTCAATGATTGTGTAGACTCTAGAGATAGAGATGGAGTTCACAGGGTTGCTAATGCTAACATATGTCTCCAAATGGGGTTTCAGGTGCTTGAGAGGTTTGGAGCTGCTGGAACACGAATATTGTTATCTCAAGAACAAACTACACGAACTGTTCCATGTAAATTGGCTCAAACTAGCTATATGCATTGCATTAACTCTTACAGTTCACTTCAGAGATTAGCAACTGATTCATTATAACCATTTAATGATTCAGCTAGAGCAGCAGCGACTACTGGCAGCTGGAGTCAGGTACCCCATGCAGAATTGAAGCAAACCACAACTACAGTTCCTTCTTGGGCCCTAAAAATCTCTCTCAGCTCCACGAAGCCAAGCTTACCCACCAAAAGCACAGGAAAAGCACAAGACACCAATTTCACCTGTCTTTAATGTGGAGTGATGCGTTTTTGTTTCTTTCTGAGTATTCCTTTTTTTTTGGCAAAAAAAAAAAAAAGTGAGATGAAGGTAGAACCGCAATCATTTCGAGATGAATAAACCTTTATTTATGACTATACCACTCATTCCCCTCTTCTTAAAAGTCTTATATGTATTGGAATATTTGTATGGATGTGTTTGAATGGAAATGCATCAGATTCTAACTCATCCAGAGAATCTGAGTCTATCTCAACGTCAATTCTTGTCATCTATATACCTGGATTTTCAATCAATCACTCTAGCAATCAATCCGTCAATCAAGTGAGATGGTTAGCCGCAGATTCTGTGAGGGTACCGAGTTAAAAGTGATCTGATCCACATGATGGAAAATTATTTCACTGTTTCAACTTTTTCAATTTCAACCCATTAACCCAATTGCCACGTCATTGGTCGCTTACCAATTCGAACTCTTTGCTGTTGGTGGTTTTTATTTTTATTATTGGTAAAATTATATTCACACCCCTCGACAGGTGATTTTTATTACATTCACATTCACTCACATTTTTTAAAATAGAATCGAACTCTCTTGATATTTAAAACTTGTAACAATCACACATCTTTTAACTAACAAAACCTTAAACTTGTTGACAATCAAAGTTAAGGTTTTCAATCATAATTCTCAAAATACCAAAAATACTCTTCAAATTTATCTATCCTCTCATTTATTTTTTTAATCTATATATATATATATATATATATATTATTTATTTTTTTGGGGGGAGAGGAGGATTGAAGGAAAATTGAACCCTTAATCTCAAAAAGACAAAACTTTAACAAAATAAGGAGTACCATTAAATCAAAAATCCGTTAGTCTATATATAAAATATATAGGTTAAAATTTAACACTTATATGTTCAATTTCTAAATACATTACATTAATAAATAAAATATTAATTTTTTTGTTTATTAAATAATATTTGGTACTAGTAGTACAATTTAAAAAGTAATCATTTTTTAAAACCCTTAATAATTAGCTAATCCAATTAACCCATATTAAATTTATTTTTTTTATTATTTATCTAATTACATAAATTTTTATTCTTCCCACCATCACCACCAATTCTGCCACTATCACCATTGCCTAAACCTAACCACCACAGTAGTGCATCTGTCAACAAACACATCCAAACACCACCATCACAGAGAAAGAGAGACAAAGATAGAGAAAGAGAAACCACAACGCCATGGAAACCACCTTCGCATCCACCACTGAAACCACCACCTAGCCAAAACCCATCATCAACCATCTCTATACATGACTCTTTTCCTCCACAACATTGTCACTACTGCATAGCCGCCAACTCAGTAACACGCGCAAACAAATCATCATCACCACCACTGCCACCACATAAATGCTTCAGAATTGCAAGACAAAGAGAGAAAGTTAGGGTTTCAAAATCACCCACCATCACCTCAAATTTGAGAGATGAAAGAGAAGAGACTTAGGGTTTCAAAAAACTATTGTTGTCTTTTTGATATCTCAATTTTTTTAAGCTTTCAACCATTTTGATTTCTTCTGCGATTTTGGAATGATTCTCGGTGATTTTGGGCTAATTGGGGCTTGTGTTGGTTAGCATCTGCAAAATAATTTTTTATTTTCAAAATTTCAAAAACATCCAAAACTTATTTGCTTAGCATTTTTGTTTTCAAAATTTTCAAAAAAAAAAGAGATTTGGAGCACAAAAACAAAAAACAAGTTAAATTTGTTTTCATAGTTTTCTTTGAAAATAATGGAAACACGGATACATGATAAAACCAGTTAAATGAGATCTGACCTTCAAGTCCCTTTAGTAGTAAACAACGTCTTCTTCTTCTTTTTTTTTCCTCTCCCTCTCTCCACTTTGCCCAGCTCTTCTCCTCTAGCATCGTCGCTGTGCTTCACTGCCTAGCGTCTTTTTTTTTTCCTCTCTCTCTTCACTGCCCAGTGGCTGTCTCTCATTCTTCATTGCCCAACGTCTGCCTCTTTCTCACTCTCTCTATCTCGCAACAACTACAGATCTGTGTGTGTCTTTTGTGTGCGTGTGTGAGTGTGTTTTGTGGACACAGAGAGAGGGGGAAAGAAAGAGAGGTGGGAATTGTGAATTTTGTCCAAACAGATTTTATAATTTTTGTTCTTTAAAACTATTTTCAAAAATATATAACCAAACAGGTTTAGTAATTTAAAAATACTTTCTTAAAATTTTTCTCAAAAATTATTTTCGAATACTGTTTTTTGAAACGCAAACCAAACAGACCCTTGGTTCTTCTACTGAAGGCCGCTGTAGTGGTGGAGAGAGAAGACGGATAATTTCAGGCTAGTTCTTTGTCTTGAGAGAGAGAGAAAGCAATGGAAACATTGGGTGCAGAGGACGACGAAGGTTAGGTTGGGGGTTAGGGATAGATTTGGGGCTTGGTTTGAGTTTATGTTAAAGAGAGGGGCAAATAGACTTTTTTATTAAGATAGTTAACGCCGTCTAATAATTAGGGTTTTAGTTTTATTTTTAAAATATAAGAGTGTATTCATGTAATAAAATCAAATGTCAGGTGAATATAATTTACCATTTATTTTTTTTATAAGCAACGATATTTTACATGGGAGAAGGGAGGGGAAAGGGACTCTGAGTCATTAACGCCACTCCACCATGGAGGGCCCAACCATGTCAACTTTTGAACCCCATGAGTAATAGAAGATTGAAAGAAATACAAAATAAGTAGAAGGTATTTTAGTCATTTTGAATATTTATTGGACATGACTATTTAGTATGGTATTTTATTTTCGTCAAATTACTTAGTAAATATTTATAATAAAAAAAATACATATTGATATTGCTACGGATCAATTAAAATGTTTTATTTTGAGAGCATACATCAATTTTGAAAATGGACAATTTGTTTGTTATATTTTGAGAATATTCATTTTTGAGAATATCAAGTGCAGTAATTAAGATTCAAATCTATATACCATTGCTCATATTATATATCGTTGCACTTGATATTTGTCTAAAAAGTTGAATCGTAATTACACACCAAGCTTTCCTTAATCCTATGCATTAACACTTGCTTAGTGCGGATTATCGATAGTACATATATATTACTTGAATTATGAAAATATATCTAAATTAGTTTTGCAAAATAATAAAATATACATTCATTTCGCAATTAAACAGAACAAAAAAATAAAAAAGAAATAAAATAATGAAAAAATTTCGCAATTAAACATAAGTACTAATCTCAACTTGTACACTAAAAGATAATTTAAATCTCAATTTGTACTCTCAAAATTTAAAAATATCAATTTAACCCTAAAAGATATAAATTCGTATTAATGTGTACCTGAAGTTAACTCCGTCCAATTTGCTGTTAAAAAAATTTGAATTAATTATAAATTATACCCCCTCAAAGTTTAAGTATTTCATATTTATGACCCAAAGTCATCTATTAATGCTTGTTAAATAACTCTTACTTGTATTATATTATAATATTTTTGTGTCGTGTTTGACTTAGTAAAATATATATATATATCACCTATTTTTTAGCTATAATACTCATTAAATAACTAGTTTCTATCTACAGTTAGACACAAATCTTTCGATTGTTCGATCAAATTAAAATTAAATAATAATAACACAATTGTAGATAGAAAAATAGTAATTTAACGAGTATTATAAGCAAAAAATAAGTATTTTTTAACAAGTATTAATAGATAAAATTATTTTTAGATCATAAATGTGAAATATTTAAATTTTGAAAGTGTAATTTATAATTAATCCAAATAGGCTGTAGTTAGTCTCAGGTGCATATTGGTATGTATTTATATATTTTAGGGGATAAATTTATATTTTTAAATTTCAAGGGTATAATTTAAGATTCGATTAATCTTTTGGGGTATAAGTTGAGATTAGCCCTAAACGGAAAATAGACGTTACGAAGATTCATTCAAAAACCCCAATCCCTCCCATTCCATTTCAAAGATCGAGCCCCTTTTTGTTTTGCTTCTCTCTCTGTCTCTGTATCTCTGTCTCTGTGCTATGGCTGGGAAGCAAGAACCACACAAATCAGATGACCAAGAAAGGAAAATTCCAGTATTCACAGTCCTCAAGAACAACTCTATTCTCAAGAACATCTATCTTTTAAACAACCTACCTTCAATCTTTGACGAAAATAGTGACAAATCAAGGTCAAATCATCAGGTGTATGAGGAAAGCTTGCTGGTTGGACGGCACCCAGATTGCAATATTACGTTGGAGCACCCTAGCATTAGCAGATTTCATGTTAGAATTCATTCCAGACCCTCTTCCCGGAAGCTCTCTGTAATTGACTTATGCTCTGGTATTTTCCATTTTATTTCTCCTTCTCTGTATGTGTGTGCTCGCTTAGCTGCAGGAATCGAATTTATCTGAGTTTTTTTGTTCTTGATTTCTGATGGTGCTTTAAGGCTAAAATGTCCTCTTTATGTGGGGTGGGTGGGTTGGAATCTAGTTACTTGGTTCTCTCTCTCTCTCTCTCTATATATATATATATATATATGCGCACACGTGTACGGATATAACTTTGTGTGTATGTTCTGAATTTAGATGGATTGCTGGTTCTTGATTATGATTGTAGGCTTTAGGCTGGTTGATTTTTTCATCAAATAGCTCCTATGGCTGTCTGGGAGTATGCTATGTGCCTAAGATGGGTTGTTGGATAATTGTTTGATGTTTGTCTACTATTTATTATACTTTTCCTCTATATATTTGCCCATTTGTCTGTGTGTGTGTGTGATCTGAATTTTGATTGATTCTTAGTTAATTGATCCTGGTTGTCAATCATAGCTAGTTTAAGTGACGGAGCGGGTTCAATGGCCTGCATGTGCATAAAACTGGGTCTGTGTGGTCTGAGTTTGATCGGTCATTGGCTCTAAATTGATTGAGATTCTGGCAATTGTTTAATTTTCTCTGTGTGTGTGCGATGTTTATGTGCTTGAGTGGGTTAGTGGTTCTTGATTAA